TGTTATATATATATATGTATATATATATATATATATATATATATATATATATATATATATATATATATATATATATATATATATATATATATATATATATATATATATAGGTTTTTCTGTACTGCCCGAGCCCGAGTCAATACGGGTATGAGTGGTACATACCAGTCTGACTCACCATTGAGATGTGGCTTGCCCTGACAAACCATGTGTCGGTACACCGGTACATACCATACTGATAAATTTTCGAGACGAGTCCAATACCCGAAATGACAAACCTTACATGTATATGTGTGTATATATATTTAATTAATTGTTTATTTATACATGCATATGAGTCTGAAGATACTATGGAAATCAGCATTGAGCTTTTTTTTTTTTTGCTTTCTAGAGATGGTAATGGTTAATCTTGCTGCTAGTATTTGTCCACCTTTGATTCTCTAATATCTCAAGCCCTATTTGTGGGACACTATCTTTTGTCATTTCCTGTAATCTCTTTGTAATACTTCAGTTCCATAATAAAGTGAGATTGCTATGTATCTCTATCTTTTGCATCCAAGGAGAAATATGTCGGCTGCAGTATCTATACCTGTTGTCATGTTTAAGCATTCCAAGCAACTGATTGCTGAAGTAACAAGTCCCTCTGAATGGGAGATCAAGCCTCCAAATAATGCAATCTGCAACCGCAGGAAATAAATAATCATTTAGTGCTTAGAAAACATAAAGTCATCAACAAATTTACTAAACTGGATATCACCTCAGCAGTCTCAAGGTAAAGATTCATACGCTGAATGCTGTCAGAAATGGATGGGATTGTTACTTCACTGAAAGCCAGGCAAGACTTGAGAAATCCAAGAAACTTCTTTTTGTCTCTGATAGATTTGATGGCTAGATTGTTGCTTGAATGTATAAGAACATACTACAAAGAAGATGACTGTAAGAAAACTTGTAACATAGCTTAGAAGTGAATAGTTTGACAAACCATATCTATTGCATAGTAAATAAAAGTTCTGATCACAGAGATACAAGAATTTGTGTCAATAACAATTTAAGCAAAAAAAACCCAAAAGCACAACATATTGCTAGACCAGATCATACAGAAAAGAAAAAAGAGGATAGCTCCAAAACAAGGCCATCCTTTGCTTTTTTTTAAGTGACTACAGCAGAATATTGCTTCCTTTTAAACTAAGAAAAAGTTTTAAGAATCCCACAAACTAAGCCTGGCAATAAGAGATATATTTCTATTTCATCATATGGCTGTACCATGTAATTCTGCTCAAACGTTCTGTAAGCAGGAAGTAATTCTGCTCAAACGTTACATGATCAGAACACATGATCCTTTGTAGTCATGAAGGGTTATATATTGATTTTTATCTGTAAGAAGCAGCAAAAAAAGATGATTTTCTAGAGTTATTTTAGCTCTGTGCATTATTGGCATTGACAACCCAGGAGAGAATTTACGGGTGTAAAAGCTGTAGGAGCTAAATCAATGGTTGGGGGATTATAACTTTCTGAGAAAGGGGCAAAAATCACATTCATTAAGCATACAGTTCGATGAAGAAGCATATACCAGAAAAACAGAAAAAGAAAGCTAGAAAGTACTATCATGTTCACCGGACAGACTAACCTTAAGTTCATCAATGCTACCAAAAGCTGCACGAGATTCACCTAAAAATGATAAATGCTGTTCCCATTCAGCTCCAAAGTTGACCTACAAGAAGACCTATTAAACATCCAGTAAATGACCTTTTTGTGAATAAGAAATTATTTAAATTATTGTCAATAAGCACTACAAAATATGCATAGGAGCTAATTTTTCTTGTTTCCAGTTATTTTCGAACTCCAAATCAAGTATACTTACCATACCAACAAATCTAGATATCAAATCTGCTTTATGCTTACTCTCATCATTCATATTTGATGTATCGATGCTCTCATGAAGGACTTGAGATACTTCAAAAAGAAATTGTACTCTTGTGGGATCCCCAGTATGACCAGCTCTGCATAATATCATTAAAAATGACCGTAAATATGTTTGATTATGACAAAGAATTTTATATTGCAACATTTGCATTTTTTAGACTTGCAGCAAGACAACATAAAATCAAATTTATGGTGAATACCAAAGGTGCCCAAACTTAAGTATTGGCAACAATGACAAAATTGAATTGTTTTACTTGGTGAATTTATATGAGAAACTCTAATTTTCACAGGAATTATTATTCAGATTAACACCACTGCAAATGGTTTCACATAAATATGCATGGTTCAGTATGCATAACTAAAGGACACAAAACAGTGGCAAGTGATTTTTGACTCTTGTTCAGCATGTTAACACATTAGACTAAAGCATTTAGCTTTGTCAATTAGAGTCTAAAAATACAGAGGTCTGCTCTATCAATTTATAAGAATATGAATACAAAAACATCCTTTGAATAAAAACTAAACAAAGTTATTAACTAAACTATAGAAATCAAACATACAGTAATTACAGTTGGTTTAAGATTAAAATAAAACTGAATAAAAACCATGATTGCCAAAAACCTGTCTAGTTAATAAAGAAACTATGGCCAATTGTGCATGAAACAAGCTCAGTTGTTCAGACTGAAAGTCTGAAACTACCTAAACTCCAAAGCATAGATTACACGTGAAATAATAACATGGTACAAGAAACGATTTAAACAGCAGAACTTTGACACTTTACTTCATAGATTTAGCCAAAAAAAAAGTTCATTACTTACGACCTTGTGATTTGCAATTCTGAAATATATAAGAGAACATAAAATTATTGTTAGTTAGCTTGACCATTGGGAGTCACTTCACAATAGACCATTTACAAACAAAATAATTCGAGATAAAGCAACTAAAAATGATTTACCTAGTAGCCTTATGAAGTATATTCATGTAAACTGTGTTCCGTGAGCTTCCAGATAGGAAGTCAAGAATTGCCGTGAAATGTTCCTACAAAATAAGTGAAACAGATAAGTCGATCTCTAAAAAAAAGGCATTGCTATCACCAAGCTAGTGTTCATTTACAAATAGCATACACTATTTAAATTAGTCATCACAAAAACAAAAGTAGGTTAAGAATTTACAAAAATGTCTTCTTTAGCAAGACACTGCCACACAGGTCATTCTCCATGTCAAAAAAGTATATATAGACAAAACAGGTCTCTAAGGTGAATTTGGCAGTGTATTAAAAATAGTTATTTTACATCAAAAGAAATATGTGATATGAAGATGTGACATTAGAAATTAAAGCCGCATAATGATCATTGTTGTTAATGCAAAGGACCTACAATAATGAGATTATCATACCCTCTCAATATAGGACTCCTGAAGTGCCATTACGTTAAACCTATTGAAAGTACTCAATGATTTTCATTCAGTATCAGCTCGAATTGAGAGGTTATCTTTCATGAATGTTATTCCTATACTTATAGACACATGTAAAGTCTAATTAACACTCACCAGCCCAATCAGCTATCTTCTAGGCCTTTACCACGGTTGTTGCCAACACATTTAGTTCCGACCTTCTTGATCTCATCATCTAGTATATATTAAATTCTAAAAAAACTCAAGTATGGTTGGTATAGGTATTTACAAGCCCAACATTCATCAGGATACCGAACAAAGGATTTCACTGATGTTGATGATGATCATACTGTCAGTGTTCAAATATCAAGCTTCAACTTACATTCAAGTAAAGATTGGGATGAAGCACCCACAACCTCTTAAGCTTTAAGTCACTTGAGATCATTGGTCATTTGCTTCTTGCATTCCTTTCTCTATCTCCATCAAGGAGACTCTACTATCTAAACTCAAAATCTGGAAATACCAAAATATGATTAAGAAGACTTGGACTATTAGAAGATGGCATATAACACCATCTAATTGGCAAAGAAGCTAGAATGGTGCATTTGAAAGAATCAACTACTGGTCTAGTGTATTCTCGATTTTGCACATATTTCATCATATTATAGAACTCTGCTGAATAAGCCATACACAATAGATTACGACCTATAGATCGTTGTCTACCAGATTTGCACATGGATCAAGTCATCGAACTACAAGTCCGGTTGGGTTTGAGTTTGGCTAGTTGAATAGCATATGCACTTGCACCAGACCTATACCATCTTATACTGGATTATTATCAATTTGGATCACATTCATATTTACCTGTACGGTTGTACCAATGACAGACCACATTCCACTGTGCTCTAGGTAAGACATGCTGTAGCATCTTGATACTTGATCTTGCCAATATGTGCTAACATATTAAGCAGCATATGCCAATGGTAACAAATAACAATTAATCTTCAGTGTTGAAATTCCCATTAAATGAGATGGAGGAGACATACGTATACAATAAAAAGTCAGCTGAAGATCAAGCCACCAACACAAAGTAGGTGCAATCTGTGGAAGTGCCTTACAATTCTAAAACAGGTTATATCAAGTAGGACCTCTTCGAGTTGGCTCACACCAACAGCCTCCTGACATGGCCCAATGTCAAGAGACCAGATCAATAATAACTCTTTTCATTTTAAAAATTACCTAATAAAGATGGCATTGACTTGATCAAGGAGACATTGATGGATGCCAAGTTATTCAGGGAAGGAAAAAGGAGGTATGCACAACTTTTGAGAACTTGATGCCAAACTACTATAAAAAGCTCATTGACCACTTGCAATATATACCGGGAGATAATTTGATCTGAATTAGAAAATATTCCAAAATATCTAATAAATGGAAAAGAAATAGAGGATAAAGGAGGCTAAATTTGGTTACCAACCAAATTTTGAGTCTATCAGTATATGATGTTGTCCCAAGTTATAATATCATCGAAGAAAACCTCAAGATCTTACAGCCACTAATAATCACTCTCCAATCTGGTCTTTTAGGAGAGAACTATCCCTTTTGGACAATTCCATTATCCTCAAATTCCATCAAAAGAGACCATTACAACTCTGCAAGCATGGCACCTGATAGCTAAACAATTTATCCAACTTACACTTTAAACATATAACCAAATGGATGGGCTTCAAAGGCGTACAACTAAAAATAATAATAATAACTAATCCAAATATCAAAGCAAAATCTAGAATCTAAACTTATTATTTAGTAGAACTTTATGAAAGAGCTTAATCAGCCCTCTCCTTTCCTAACTCATCTAGAAGTGCAGCGAGAAGACTACAGTTGATCTGGATTGACACCATGATGTCAACAAGATATCCACATTATTAAGCAGAATGACATCGACAATGAACCAAAAATGACTTCATGACTCCTAGGAGGACCAGCAATGTCTAAATTCAGAAAGAAGCAAAATTTAGGAATATAGCTTCAAATGGCTTGTTACCATAGCAAGCACAATTTCCAATCTATCAAAGTGATCGATAATCTTGACAAGAATGGACTGCAGATTTTCCATTTCAATTTGATCAACCTGATTCGCATGAGCTCGCTTTAAGATTCCATCCAATATGATTCCTAGATAGTTCTCCTGGTATATCAAAAATATTACGTATTAGTCAAATAACAAAATCAATAGATTGGAAAATTAGAGAAAGTAACAACAATATATTTTTCCAATGACAGTAATATAACAATATTCATCTACCTTACAAGATGAACAATTTTACTTAAACACTTATGTTACCCCACATCACATAACAGTAGATAACTGCAAACACACAGATAATTATATCTTAATTGAGTTGCAAGACACACACACACACACAGATATATATATATATATATATATATATTTATTTATTTATTTATTTATTTATATATTTATATATGTATGTATGTATGTATGTATGTATGTATGTATGTATGCATGTGTGTGTCTATATATATATATGTATATATATACATATATATATATATATATGTATATATATACATATATATATATATATATACATATATATATATATATATACATATATATATATATATATATA